GTCATGGCAACACTCACACGCATGCAAGGATGCTAAAGCATAAGAACTTACCGAGTACTCCGAGCCAAAATAGAAACTAGTTAGTAATCATATGCATGATCCTAGTTCATGTTAAGATGGCTATGAAACACATGCAAAATGTAACTAAGATAGGCTCGGCTAATCTATAATGACATGTGAAATGCTACAACTAACACGTATTCAATTTGAAATTGAAATACAAATGCAGTTAGAATGATGTGCCGAGCCCAGTGCATACAAAACGAATGAATGGATGCAAACATGCTATCATACTGTATGCTAATTGAAACATGCCCTAGACTAACCATCGAAAGCTAGTAAATGAAAGGGAAGAAAGACGTGGGGTTGGGAGACATACACACACTCACGCACACTTATTACACAATTGCCCTCACTCGGAGGGTCTGAATAAATATTACACAACCAAATGAATTATTACAGAATTCCTAACTAATTAAAAAATTAAATGCAGAAAGGTGGCCGCAGCCCTGCCTCAAATTAAATGCAGAAGAAAGGTGGCCGCAGCCCTGCCTCGAAATGTGTGAATGATGCATGCTTGATTCGTCTCACCCGGAAACTAGCTACCATAGCACTGCTGCCTCTATTTTCACTGCCTTGCTCCTCTAAAAATTCTGAAAGTCTCCAGACCCCTTTTGAATCATCCCCTGAGTGCTCTGGGATGTCACTGTAGACACCCCATTTTTGACCGTCCTCAAGACTTGGACGTCACCGTTTGAACACTCGGTGATTATCCTTGTTTATGTTCGTTTGGAGTTCCTGGAGGCCTTGGCTCGCGCGCCTTGTCTCAGGATCTCCGAACTTGACCATTTAGTGTCTGGTTTTGCACCAAACACTTGCATCCTGCCTTTGAGAGGCAGGGTAGGGCTTGTAGACCATCCCTACCCATCACCGGCAGTGGCTAGATGCCACCGGCTGGTTCTTGCTGCCACCGGCAATATAGTTTGCCGGCCGGCACTCTTTGTTGCCGGTCAGCACTGTTTTGTGCCGGTCGGCACTCTTTTTGGCCAAGATGGCATTTTTTGCCGGCCGATTGCTGTTCATCTGCTTTTGCAGATATTTTTAGACAGCTGTATTGCTTTTGCTCCCCTCCATAGACGTGTATGGAGGGATCTCCCTCTTGCAAAGCTTGTCTTGTAAGCTTTACAAGAGGCATATAGAGAGAAACTCTCTCTAAGAAAAAGAAGAGAGCTTTTAGACATTTTTGAAAGAGAAAAAACACAGACCAAGCTCTGGTTTTTCTAGGGTTAGGGTTAGATATACACTTTCTATCTCTATTTCCCTCTCATTTTGTTCACTAGGTGTTTTGTGCCTTACTATTGCACATAAACACCTAGTGTTTCACCTTCCTCTTGGAGCTGAGGTTCCAAAGAGTGTGTTTTGAGATTTTGGTGTTAGATTCAAGCTCAAGAAGGCCATTGGAGCACCATTGTTGAAGAGGACTACAAGGGTAAGAAACTAGTCCTTTTTTCCCCCATTTTTGCTTTGATTTTATACCTATCTTAGAGCTGTTTTTGTGCTTGTTGTATAACATAAAAAAGTTCTGTTTTTAGGCCCTCTTTATTGTTTATTAAGAGTGTTTCATTGTTTGAGGGTTGTTGACCACCCTTAGGCCTCAAAAGGCCTCATTTTGAGCCATTTTGTGCTAGCTCCGGGATTTTGGTGTTGAGGTCTCTTGTCGGTGTATTCGGTTTGCCATTATCAAAAAAAATTAGTGCAATCATATACAGAACATAATAAGCTAGCGTTGAAAAATATCTAAAATCCAAAAAAAATAGAAAATTAGAACACAAAATAAAGTTAAACCGAAGTTTTCAAAATTAATCCAAATTAATCATCATCACTAGCAGCACTACTTTATACCCAAATCCGAAAATGCGAATAATCACATAATACCTAGCTAGGTTTTGGAACTCAATAGACGGCTAAGGCAATTACATGGAGTTTCAAGTAGATGGGTTTCCACAAAACAACACGGTGTCAAATCCACTGGGACAAACAAACAAAGAGCAACCCTCAAGGGCATCGGCGACCGAGGATTGAGATATGTTTCGTCACTTTAAGTACGAACACTCCTCAATTCTCATGCTCGGTTTGACATCCCAATCCAAGCAAAATGTAATGCAAGTATGCAATGTACCTCACATATGCAACATGGGTCAAATATGCAACATGAAGCTGAATAAGCAAGGCATGCCAAATGCAATGCAATGCAAACTAAACATACCAATGTGTAATGTACTAAAGCATGCAACATGCAATGTAGTAAACATGGACAAATGTGCAATGAGACTAGCATGTGGCAATACATAATGAGCCAAATATGCAACAAACATATGGCAAACGTATAATGGTGGACTTAAACCATAAAGGACAGACCTCAGCCTTGCCATAAATAGTGGCCAAAAGTGCCAAAAATGGAGGACAAGCGCTCATGTAAGCATGCACCACAATGAGCCAAAAATCGGAGCATGGAAGGCTACTTTCAAGAACATTCAAAGGTGGTAAGCATGGACATTAAACACTCATGTTAACTTCTAAAAAAAAAATATGAATGATGATGCCAAATCATGCTAGGGAATAGATGCAAAATGAAAGGCATTCAAGGCCACAAATGGGAGCATTACTCGACACCCACCCCAAGCAAGCATGGCATGAGCTATACAACCAAAAACAGAGTTTTACTGCACCAAAATAAGTCCCAAAACCCCCTAATATGGCAGCTAAGAGACACAAAACAAAAGGTATGCACAAAAGACCATTCATGGAGCATAGGATCATGTCTCTCCAAAGCATTGAAAGGATAACAAAATGCAAACATGCAAGCATAAAACGTGGACTGAAATGGCATGGCAAATGATTCCAAATCACTGAAAATAGACCAAATGAGGCATGCTTATGGCTTACACACTCAAGGCTCACAAGCCAAAACACATAGAAACTATACCAAACATGGCAAACATGGTCGAATCAGCACCCAACAGTCCTTGAGCATGGCAAAATAATGCTAAAACCTTCATGAAGTTAAGCTAGAACATGCAAGCATCATGGCTTAAATACAAGGCACATTTCTAGGCAAAATGGGGGAATGTAAGGCAAGTACAATATGCATGCAAAGGGCCATAAATTTGACCAAAGACAGAGGCAACATATGACCAAATAACTTCCAAGAACCTCTGAAATGGGGCCAAAAACACCCAAGCACATATGTTACCCTTATGAGTCCAAAACATTGACAAATGGGACACAAAGGGGAGAGCGGTGTCCCTCCGCTATGCAAGACTTCAAACCCCCTTCTTCACCACTGAAAATCTATTGGATTTCAGTGGTGAGAAGGCCAATACACCAAAGTAACCAAAGCTTAACAATTGAGGCATAAAAAGAGCCAAACAAGGCCTTAGAGGGGGAGGTCGACCCCCAACACCAAAACAACCTTAATGAAGTATCTTAAGCATGCAAATACAAGACTTTTTTTAGTTATACACAAAATCTAAATCAGTAATCAAGATAGGTTAAAGACTAGTGCAAGATTGGAGAATCTAAAGCAAAAGTGTTACCCTTGAAGAACACCTCAAGAACAGCAAGCTCAGGCCCTTTCTTCTGATCAAAACCACCCCAAAACCTCAAGAACAAACTCTCAAAGCCTCCAAAGTCGAAGTATGGTGTAATAGTAGGTGACTTAGTGCAAAACTAAGGTCAAAGCACACTTTTGGGGCCTCTAACACACACAAAAGGGGAGAGAGAGGAAGATGTAGAGAGAGAAGGTGATATATATCAGAATATATATGTAAACTCTAGTTTTCTGCTCAACCTCTACAAAAGAGAGGGGAGGTCTCCTTATGTAGACAATGGAAAAGGCTAAGCTTCCAGGAGAAGCCAACAAAAGGGTCAAGGCTTCCTAAAGAAGCCAAGGCAAAGAGGCCAAGGCTTCCTTAGGTAGCTGGGACAGGTGTCCAAGCTTCTTGAGGAAGCTAAGACAAAGGTCCAAGCTTCCTCAAGAAGCTAGACCAAAAAGGTGCAAAAGGGGCAAAACAGCCACACTCGTGCATGGAGAGGAGGGTCCGTGCATTCCAGCTGGTACAACTGGCATGCATTATGCCTGTAAAAGGCAAAAAGGTGGTACCGGCCAGAAAAGGAGGCCATCGGCCAAACAGTACTAGTAGGTGACTTAGTGCAAAACTTAGGTCAAAGCACACTTTTGGGGCCTCTAACACACACAAAAGGGGAGAGAGAGGAAGATGTAGAGAGAGAAGGTGATATATATCAGAATATATATGTAAGCTCTAGTTTTCTGCTCAACCTCTACAAAAGAGAGGGGAGGTCTCCTTATGTAGACAATGGAAAAGGCTAAGCTTCCAGGAGAAGCCAACAAAAGGGTCAAGGCTTCCTAAAGAAGCCAAGGCAAAGAGGCCAAGGCTTCCTTAGGTAGCTGGGACAGGTGTCCAAGCTTCTTGAGGAAGCTAAGACAAAGGTCCAAGCTTCCTCAAGAAGCTAGACCAAAAAGGTGCAAAAGGGGCAAAACAGCCACACTCGTGCATGGAGAGGAGGGTCCGTGCATTCCAGCTGGTACAACTGGCATGCATTATGCCTGTAAAAGGCAAAAAGGTGGTACCGGCCAGAAAAGGAGGCCATCGGCCAAACAGGTGGTCGGTCGGCCACACAAAATGCCGACCGGCCAATGGACTATTTCACCAATGGCCGGTAGCCTCAAAACACGGCCGGTGGCCTCAAGCCATGGCCGGTGGGTATCAGGGGTAGCTAGCAAGCTACTCTCTACCCTTAGGTGCAAAAACAAACAAGTCCTTGGTGTAAAACCAAGCACAGAACAAGCAAGTCGAGAGATGCTGAGGCAAGGCGCGTAGCGAAGACCTCCGCGAACTTAAAACAAACACGAACATGGATGATCACCGAATGTTCAAGCGATGACGTCCAAGTCTTAAGGACGGTCAAAAATGGGGTGTCTACACAAGCCCTAACCTTAAATGTTGGGGTTCCACAGAAAACATAGGATGCTGCATATCAAAGTCCTTCCATGCCTGACCATCGGCTGGATGCCTTAACAATCCATCATCTACATGCTTCTCTTTATGCCATCTCATATCTGCGGCGGTTTTTTTCGACATGTACAATCTCTTCAACCTCGGTGTCAAAGGAAAGTACCTCAATATTTTGTGAGGAATCTTTTTACCACTCGTATTGGTGAACTTGTATCTAGACTCCTTACATGTAGGGCAATTATCCAGTTTTGCGTTGTCCTTCCAAAACAAAATACAATCATTCTTGCATGCATGAATGGCCTCATATCCCAAACCCAATTCACGTAAGAACTTTTTCAATTCATAAAGGGTCCATGGAACAGTTTCATGACACTTTGGGAGAATGTCTTTGAAAACTTGCATAACCATATCGAAAGATTTGTTGCTCCATTTATTGCACACCTTAATATGAAGCATTTTAATAACGAAGGACAACACGGAAAACTTTTCACACTCCGGGTACACTTTGCGTCGAGCATCATCAAACAACTTAATGAACTTTACTAAGTTTTCTCTCTCCGAGCTATTAGGTTCTCCGTTGATATGATCATCCATGAGGCCACTCATGTAAATCTCTTCCAACATAGTAGGCGACTCACCCAAATGATCGTCAACGTCAAAAATTTTAGCTCCATCTCTTTCACCAGCATCGTTTGACACACTAGGCTGACCATGATGCAATGGAACACGTTCCCCATGGTGCACCCAAGTTCTATAAGAACAAGTAATTCCTCTTCGAATCAAGTATAGCCATACAACTTGTCGACTATGCTTTGTTCCATTCAAGAAATCGACACACGGACAACGAATGTCATTGTGTGGGCATAAGTCCTTCGTAGCAAAGTCAATAAATGACTTAACACCTTGTTGGTACTCTTTACTTTTCAACCTATCACATATCATCATCCAACTCTTGTCCATCTTTTAAACCCTACAAGTCAAGTAAAGATTAACTAGGACTTTTGAGGATGGCCATAAAAGATGACAATTTGGGTGAAGTAGGAGTATAAAGAAAATACAAACAAAATTTTAAAAAAAAAAAATCACACATAATGATGTATGTTATTTATATTATCTAATAAAAATTAAAATGCCTACCACTTTAGTGAATATTGCAAAAATAACATTATTTCACCAATTTTGCCTTTAATATCATGCAGTATTTAGTTTTCAGTACTTAAAGATAAAGATATACAAAAAGATGCAAAATATGGGAACCCAATGATTCCCTAAGGAACACAAATACAACCTCTCTAAAAATGAGGGGGACACAAAAAATTGCTGCATTAAAATCTTGCTTTCACAACTTGGGAGCATAAGTTTTGAATTGATACATTAAGGGTATGTAATAAACAATGAACTTTAACGTATCATCTCTACTATTCATTGTTTGCACAATTTTTGCACAATTCTTTAATTTTTTGTTTCTCCCATCTTAATATCATCTCTACTATTCATTTTTTTTCTTCCTGATATATTATAAGTAGCATTGACAATCCTTCAAATTTGAATTTTTTTTTTCTCTTATTTTTACCGTAAGGTGCTGGAAGGAAAGCCTCCAACTTGTAATATCTTCAATCAGCAGGTTTGTCTATCTGTTCATGTTTCTTGAATTCAAAATTGAGATAAATAGTTAATCATTATTTATTATATCTAATTGTTCAAATTACCTGTTAATACAACTATATGCAATATGCTTTTAATCTCTTCTCACACAATGCACCTATCCTGTCAAATGGCTACAATGAAGAGGAAATGAAACTAGTAAAAGAGACCAGGAAAATCTAGGTAAGTGTATAGACTTGGTTTTTTATATTTAATTCTCAATATTTCTTTAGATTTTTGTATATATGTGTGCTGAGGTCTCTAATTGACTTGGACAATTTACGTAGTCTGCATGATGTACTTTTATTTTTTCTTTTTCTTTTGATAATAATTTTATTTGCTGTTGTAGAATGACATGAATGTCAAAGTAACTGCCACATGCATAAGAGTTCCTGTTATGCGTGCACATGCTGAGAGTGTGAACCTCCAATTTGAGAACCCCCTTGATGAGGTAATTTTGCATTTTAATTCAAATTTTTATTGGTTTTTGATTCATAATAAATCTTGTTGCCTTAATTATGTTATAGTGGAGTTTCTATCCTTGATTTTCATCTGTTGTTGAAGGATAAGTTCTTGAGAGTAGAGCTATGGATATTGTTCATGACAATGTTATTCTATTTTTGGTGATACACACCTTGTTTTAACTACATTTATCTATTGGTATTCCATGTTTTCTATATCACTTCTATACATTGTATTAACCTGTCTCATAGACTAAGATGAGTTGATATAAGGGAAAAATTGCAAATTTGTCTGTGGAAACTTTTCATCCGACCTTTCTTTTGAGATTTGCCTATTCCCATATGATAATCTCTATGGTTTTTTAGGGATATAAAAAAGTTTGTACCAAGTGCACAAGCTTATAGCAGCCTAGCAGGATCTAGGAGAGGTAGTAGGTATGCTACCTTGCTCCCACTATTTTTTGGAAAGGCTGATTATCCTTTTTGGGCACATAATGCAGATTAGTTTGTTACTTATCTAAAGTTTTGTTCATTGTTTAGTTTACTTCTGTGTTCATTTATCTCATGACGCTATTTCCATCTAGCTATCATTGGATTTCACTAGGGCTTTTGATTATTTTATGGAAGGATCCACTTGGATTCATTAAATTTTCTTCTTCTACAGCTCAATATCCCATCCCAATAAATTTTCTAAGTTTTAGAGGCAATGTGATATTGATGGCATGAACTTAATTGTAGTCGTGATGGTGCAAAATTAAAGACCATGATTCTGTAATGCATTTTCATGTGAAATCTACAAAGCATCTATATTTTAACTCAACACATGCTCACTGTACTTTGTTTTCTATTCTATTTTGAATCTGTAGGTTTGACTCATAGTTTAACCAGAAAATTGTTCAAAACATTGGAAATAAATTGAATCAAACAGAAACAGAGTGTTGCCCCTATCCAGTTGGTATACATTATGAAGTGAAGAACATTAACTTATGGTTACAAGATGGCTCAACTGATGTTAACCTATTTCTGATCTATGGGATTGGGTCGAATAGGGAAGACAACCGTTGCCAAACCTGTTTACAACCTAAACTTTGACAAATTTGTTTGATTCAACCCAACAGTTTGATTCGTTTACAAAATAAAAATTGTTTCAGAAATATTGAAAGCCTCTGTATCAAAAAAAAAAAAAAACCCCTACATGAAAATGTCACAGCTAGCAGTTGGATCCATTTAGAATTTTTTTTTTTTTTTTTTTTTTGCATTGGATCAAACTCAAACAGGGAAATAGAAGAAGGAAGAGAGAGAGAGAGAGAGAGAGAGAGAGAGAGAGAGAGAGAGAGAGAGAAACCTGAATCAAATTCAATGGGTGTCAGACGGTGTACCTGTGGTGGTTCGGGGGCTGCGAGCAACGGTGACCGATGGTTAGTCAATGAGAGGAGAGCAAGAGAGTGGGGTGTTTCCTTTGGTGTATTCAACACATACAGAGAAATAAAAAATAAATAAATAAACAAAAGGAAACATAACCTGAAAATACGCGGTACTATATAATCTTCCCACCAAAATTTTTTGGTTTTATTGGCGACAAAATCAATTTAGTCACTAAAAGTAACCTTTTCCTACCAAAATTTTTGTAGCCAAAGATAAAAGTAAAATAATGTTTAATTATTTGGCGACTAAACTATTTTAGTAGCCACATATTTTTATACGACGACTAAAAATTTTTTTCGTCGTTCAAAATAAATTTTTACCAACAAAAGATTGGTCACCAAACACAAATACCAAACATTTTGCAAGATTTTTACCGACTACATATTTTTAGTAGGCAAAAATGAGTTTACGATGACTAAAATGTTAATTCGTCGCCTTTTGTGGCAGTTTTTAGCGACTAATTTATTTTTTAGTCGCCAATAAGTAATTTACAGTGACTAAAAAAATTTAGTAGCCAAAAAACAAAACTAACGCCAACTAAAATGTTCATTAGTCGCCTACTACGGTAGTTTTTAGCGACTAATTTGTTTTTTAGTTGCCAATAAGTAATTTACAGTGACTAAAAAAATTTAGTAGCTAATTTTTGAACCAATGGCGACCAATACCAATTTTAGTCGCTAAAATTGGTCGCCAAAAGTGCGAATTCTTGTAGTGTCATTTTGGGTTTAATTAGTCATTATCGCTCTCGTTGAGTTTGACTAGTCATTATCACTCATTTTAGGTTTGACTTAGAATTCATTATCGTTTGTAAATGAGTTTGTTACTTACTTTGTAATTTCCCCTATAAAAAAGGCTCGAAAAGCTCATTTCTCGAGTTAAGTCAATGCTTGCTATCTTTATTGCTTTTAGACTTAGTGGACGTATTCATCACTTTTGGCCAAAAAAGGAAGAAAAGATAAGAAATGGAAAAGTAATGTAAAATAGGCTAATAAAATTGGATTAAAAAAGATAATAAAATTGAGTTAGGTTCAATCAGACGTTATATTGAACCCATTACGTCGTGGACCATTGCATACATTTTAGTAATGTTCAATGATTCATGAAGCAATGTCCACCCCTTTCATCAAGGTAACTCCATGATAGGGAGGAGGTGTTGTTCATCTTTTGTTTCATTTTATTGAGTTTTTGTCCTATCGATTTATAGATCAGCACGCAACAACTTTGCGATAATTGATGATTTGTGAATCGAATCTACTCCTCCCATGATCATCTTCATGATATGGAAGGGCAGAGAGGATAAACATCTCCTGGAAACACTTTGGGATTGTTTGGTTTGTTTTTCAGAAAAATTTTTGGGAAAAATTCTCTACAAAAAATTTTTCAAGAGTAATCAAACCAAAAAAAATTTTCTAAAAAAAATCTCAAAATTTTGTTTGGTTACCTACTTTCAAAAATCACTCACTCTCTCTCTCTCTCTCTCTCTCTCTCTCTCACATATATATATCAAATCAATCACTTTTTTTAAAACTCTCTCCCTAAAACAATTTTCTAAAACTATTTTTGAAAAAGGCAAACTAAACAAGTTTTCGTACTTTTTATCTAAAAAACTACTCTACAAACACAAACCAAACACACCCTTTGTTTTTGCTCTATTTCAGTCTATGGTCGGCCGACCACTACTCTACACGGTCAACCACTTTTCAAGGCTGACCGACCATCTTATTTTGTACAAGCAGTGTCATTTTCACAATAGAACAGACCAGAGCCTGAGGCCAAAACAGAATAATTTTCTGACTACAAACAGAACAGATTCTGGCAGCAAACAGAGAGATTTCTGGGAGGATGTTCTCGGTTATGTGCGTGTGGCTCCTCGTTTCCCATTCAAGTCCATTAATTTAGTACTTTAATATTAGTATGTGTAATTAATTAGATAGATTCATTCAAGTTTGTAATAGCTAATTAATTTAGTTAATTCATTTGGTATTATAATAATTAGTTTAATTAGGACATTCGTTTGAACCCTCTTGTGCAAGGGCAAATTTGCAACACTTGTAATATTGTGTATGTCTTCTAACCCCCATTTCTTTCTCACTTTCATTTATATGCTGATCGTGGTAGCATCATATTTTTCGTTTCATATCATTGACATACTTCGTATCCATTTTTGCATGCATTAGGTTCAGTTCATCATTCCCATTGTTGTCATTTCCTACTTACTTGAATACATGCGCTACCGCACGCTTTGAGTTGATTAGTATGACATGTTAAACAAACCGGACCTAGTAGTTGCATTTTATATGTGTTGCATTAGTCACTTGCATATTAGAGAATGCATTTTTCTAGTTATTTTTTTTCTCTTTGGGTTGCCTCGATTGAGTACTAGGTGAGCATTTTTTGCTTTGGCATATTGCATGTGTGTTTGTGTTGCCA